GATTTTTTCCCCCATTTTGTCTCTCATAGTTGAGGTATACCTATGATGAAAATTACAGGCCTCTCCCATCTTTTTAAGTGGGAGAACTTGCACAATTGGTGGCTGACTAAATACTTTTTTGCCCCACTGTATATCTTTTCCTAGGAAATTGAAATCTTTCCCAAATGTGTTTGAGATTGTAAACTTAAGAATTGCTGAGTAATGGTAATTAGTCCCCAAAATAAAGCTTCCACATCAGGAATAGTCTTATTCTGGATTTTGAAAAATCAGGAAATGAAAAGACAAAGACTTACTTGTTTTATTCAGATTAAATTATAAGGATGTAAAAGTACACAAAACCATACCATATTAAATGGATCATGCAAACATTAAAATGTATTTAATGATGTACATTATCAACCTGGACAGATTTGTTCCCCTCTCATTTAGGAGGGTTGATCAGAGAGTTACTTGACTTAATCTAGCATTTACCTTTATATAGTTAAATGAGCATCTTACCAGTCTACACATCTTGGATTATTCACTCCTAAATTAAAAGGTCATAAGTTCATACAGAAAGTTATTTTACTCAAATAACAAATGAGAATTACAGCAGCAATTCTCTAGTTCTACAGAATAGGAAAAAAGTTGTTCTCAGATCTTAAAAACATATACCGTGTGTGTGTGTGTGTGTGTGTGTGTTATCGTTTGATTCAAAGGTCACACTTTTTTGCTGCTTTAGTTTCAAGTTGTTAAAACCATAAAGTACAGATCAAATTACACTGGTGTTTTCATTACACCAACTTGGGACCTAGTGTCTATCCTGAATAGTAAATTGCCATAGAATTAGAGGTGTCAAAGGTAATTTTTTGCTTATCTCAAAGTCACTTTATCTCATTTAATCCTGCTTCAGTCATTATGCAGTATAGACAGTCTTCAAACCCTTCAGTGCAGATTTGGAAACACCTCAGTAGGGAAAAGACACTCATATTGTCTGTGGATTTACTTCTGACAGTGTACCCACACAGTTTAATATAAATCCATTTTAATAGTGTAGACATTTGTTTTACAAAGCTATGTATAAAAGTAGCTGTGAAATAGATTAAATGGTCATTATTATTATGGTCATAATGTTAGAATCCAACTTGGGACTGATTAGGATGTTGCTTCCTTGAAGAAGAAAAAATTGGCGCTTTTGCATATGTATGAACTGCTTACACAATCCATTTTCTGTTTTAATAGACCTTAGATCTTTCTGCTTTTACTATTCATGCAGAGAAATAGTAGATTTAAGGAGTTCCTAAGTAATTATGCCTGTTTAACTTTGAGAATGATCACAAGTCTGAGGCTAATTTGTCCTTGCATTATATTCAGGACACAATGTTCAGTCTTCTAACTGAGAGCTGCTGAATGTCTAAAAAGTAATGGTATATAATATTTTCAGGTACATTTTCAATCAAATATTAACTCTTCGTTTATTCATATTATAGAGTTAGTCAACAGAGCAGAACCAATCTTATGACTGCAGATAACTTATCTATATGTTTCTGGCCTACTTTGATGAGACCTGACTTTGAAAACAGGGAGTTCCTGTCAACCACCAAAATCCTTCAATCAGTAATAGAAACAGTCATTCAACAATGCCAGTTTTTCTTCTATGGTGGAGAAATTTCAGAAATGTCTGACAATGTAGCACATCAGCTTCCAGGTTCGAACCCAGTACAGATGGTAGATCCAATTTTACCACTACAATTACCACCACCTCTACAACCTCAGCTAATACAACCACAGTTGCAAGCAGATCCTCTTGGAATTATTTAAATAAAACAACTGACAAGAAGATGATTTGTCAAGAGCTTGGAAATGGATACAGAGGAAAACTAGATGTGCATGTTTCAAGATACAATGACAACTTTCATATTATGAAAGAATTTGAATCCAAACTAAGACATTTTTGTTGTAGTCACACTATCCACCTTGTTCATAACACTGCAGGTCAAAATTATGTGATTAGCATGACTGGAGAGGTTTAATTTTTTAAATCAGAAATAACTAAAGTGCAAAGCTGCTGTTGCATGAACATTTATCGCAATCACTCTCATTTCTGTGACAGTTTGTCACTATATATTGTGAATAAAACTTTTCTATAGAAATGTAATGATTAAATAAATCATTTATGGAACATTCAATACTTGCGGCCTGCTTTAGGGCTGTTTTTTATTTAATTGTCTCTCTCCCCGTGTCATTTTCATACCAGTTTAGTCCTATGCTACGCCTAAAATACAACCATGTCTTATTTGGAAATTATGAACTACTTATACTACATCGCAAAATATTTTGGAAAAAACATAAACTACACTGTTATAAATGCCACATTCCCATGCTACTTTTTCTCTTAAACCTGTGGATATTTTTGGGCTTTAGGATTTTTTTTTTCTTATAGCACAATACCAAGGACATGCTTATTGTAAAAGTGAGTTAAGCACTGTGCAAATATGTTATGATTACCTACTCTTCCCTTAATTTGCATTAATCGATGAAACTTTTTATAATACTGTTAATTCTGTAAACAGCTGCATGTTTGAGAGATCACTGAAGATCTTGTAAGCCTAATATATTTTCTATATTTTAATTTTTCCCACTAGGAAATTCATTTAGTATATAGAAAATAATTTGACAATTTCATATAAGGCTATATAACTTTTCATACATAAATGAGAACTTTGCTTAGTGTAAACTTGCTAAACCAAACAATCTAGATCATAAATTTAACATATCCACTATATCTATTTTTCTGTGACCCTCTAAAGGTATAAAAAGCATTGCTAATATATAGCAATAAATACTTTGGGTACTGAAGCATCTTAATTTGTATATAAAAAGATACCTGTGTTCATGTTTTTTTTTTCCTGTGATCTGTTTGTATTGTATCTTCAAAATAACTTGCACCATTTAAAAATTATTTTTCTTTTTTATATTGGTACAAATTTCTCTGTTAAAGAATGCTGCTTAATTTTAAACATTCTCGATTAATAGTTGATGATTAATAAATGTGATGAAAGGCTAGTTATGGAAAAATATTGAATGGTCTAAAATATTTGAATTGGTTCAAACTTCTGTCCACAAATGGAAGGGTTCCTTCCATCCATAAAAGCGTTTTGATTCAGTGGAGAGATCCCAACTTGTACAGATTTCCAATGCCCCTATAAACCATCTCCTACCTCTGGAGCATATCTTTAGAGAAGGAATGGGTAAAAGTTGTTCCATAAGCAGAAATGAAATTTGCATCCAAGTCTGAGTTTTCCTTACCATTTTTTTCTTTCATCTTCAAAATATGTTTTCCTAAAAATAAGCTTTATTAAAAAAAAAATCATTGCAATATCTGAAATAGTTGGGAGAACTTTACTATCTCTACTGTCATCTTTGTTCAATGTTTACTATCAGTTGTAGTAAATAGAACATTTTTGAATACTAAGGTAATTTAAGAATTTGATTTTAAAAACATTTTAAAGGTTCTTATGGGCTTTGCTCTTCTGAAATAAAAATGGCCTTTTTGTTATGTCCTAGGTATTGTACTTAGAGTTATGACTTACATTATCATTACAATTAAGATACCATAATCCAGGCTGCTGTTAAAGTATTTGTATATTATAAATTATCTTCATATTTGTGTTATATTCTTGCAAGTAATTATCTTTTCTACAAAAAAAAATATTCCAATTCAAAGCACATAGGATATAAATACAATAATAAAACTTGTCCTGTAAATGTAGTAGCATTAATTTGTTTTACATCATCTGCTGTTTAAATAGCTTTTATTTATAGCCATTAGTTTAACATAGGCATTTTAAGAAAAAATAAATAAATTGCAAGCATTTTGTAAATGGTTTCTAGGTTGCTAAAGAATTTATTTTTCTACTATAGATAGTAATGCAAAAGCATCAAACTGTACAGGAAATACCACTTATTCCTCTTGCAGACAGGCTTAAATTTTTCAGCCTTATTCCTTTAAAGAGTATTTCTAGCACAATGAGAGTTGAAATTTGAATTCTGTTTAGAATTGTCTTTTTGTATTCTAGTATGCCTTTCGTTAATAATATACAATTTTATTGCCCATATCAGTAGATTTGCAGAATTTGTTTTACTGTAGGCAATTTGCTTCAATGCTGCTCTTAGCTGTCCTTAAGGGCATATGCCATGGTCGTCTTGGGCACCCTTGTGGAGCAGGGCATAAGTATGTCTGTGTCTGCATACCCCATAACCCAAAGACAGCATTTGAATTCACTCTGTGATTTAAATCTTGAATCGTCTCCCTAGATTACAAGTTCCATTATAGCTTTAAAAAAAATCATGTGTCGCTTGTCTTTTTTCTGTGATATTAACGCTGAAATTAAAATCTTTGGGATCCACTCACAGCAACATTTTTGACCTGCTGCTTTTGCTTTAACCACTTCTCCGGGTGTTTATATGCATACATCCATTTCCATTTAAGCAGAATTGATGTGGCTGAATATTCAAAACAGGAAAATAAGGCAATTAGGTATTTATAAGCTAGCTTTCTTGTAATAATTTCTGAGACTCTTATAGTGTAACAAAGAGACCTATACAGGATTGCTACACTTCTAGTAATTTATCTCATTTTAGCTAATGGATTACTTCATTCTACCTTGTATCTCTTCTGAAGTTTCAACCCATGAACTACTAGTATTGTGAATTCAGTCATTTTTAACAATAATGTGAACAGTGCTCAACAGCTGTCAATTTGACTTATGCATCCTTCACACTGACCTTCATTACATTTGTATGTTACTGAAATATATGTAACTGGGCTGTAATCCTAGACACACTTACCCTCATGTAAATCCATTGAGATCAGTAAGATGGGTTGTAAACTTAGGTTGCAGTCCTAAACTTAGTTACTAGGGAATACATCTAACTGTGGTTAATATGCTGTTCTAAGCTTAATGCATAGAAGAACATTTTATGGATATATTTAGTTACATGCAAAACACATTGAAACAACAGTCATATTCACATTCACAGCAGTAAATTCCATTGGTCTCAGTAGCACTTATTTCCAAGAAGACATGTGAGTGGCATTTTATATTAAATGATTTACAAATTATTTTTACATTACACTCAAACTTTAAAATTTTTGAAATAATGTAAATATAAGAATACAACTTTAATGAAAAGCAACATTTTTTGCAATGTATGTTTTCTGCACTACTTGACTACTGGTTGCTAGAAACTACCATTGACTTGTTTTATTTTTGAGGTACCAGAGTTTAGTTTTAATTTCTCTAAAATTGTAAAGTAATGAACTAATTGGACAAGTTAAATAAATCAGGCCTCCATTTTCATTGTGATTTCATTTTTTTTTTTTTACAGTAAACAGTATATTGACTGAAGCTATAAATACACACACAAACACTTAGTTCCTTTTCATGTAATCTTATCATAATTTACAAAATGCTGCAGTGAATTAAATATTGGTGAAGTTTATCTGTATGCAGATTGCAATGAATAAAACATTAAGATGCCTGCTGTGTATAATATTCAGTTTTATATTCAACTTCGGAAGAGCCAAATTACTCCTTTTATCTCAGATAAATACAGTAGTAAAAAAAAGTTTGGAATTGAGTTCAACAAATTATAAGAGTTGTATTTAATTGGAATAGAGGTCATTGGCAGATGGAATGAGACTTCCCATATAGCTTCCTGAATATTGTAGAGAGCTTTAGAGGTTGAGAACCTTCCAGAGCAGGATGGTAGGTCGGGGGGAGGGGGGAGATTTAGGGGGAGAGGAGAGACAGGGAAATTCTTACTGAGTGGAAGTCAAGTTACATAAGTTTGGATCTAGTGGAGTCCTTGGGGTTCTCTGAGCTTGGCTGTTTTCTTGCAAACGTTACCCGGCTAGGTAACATCTTCAGTGCTAGAATGGAATGGGGTTTGCTCTCTGTTTATATACAAAACGTTACCCGGCTAGGTAACATCTTCAGTGCTAGAATGGAATGGGGTTTGCTCTCTGTTTATATACAAAACGTTACCCGGCTAGGTAACATCTTCAGTGCTAGAATGGAATGGGGTTTGCTCTCTGTTTATATACAGTGGCATACCCTGCCTGTGTTGGTGGGGGTGGGGGTTTTGTTTTTATTTTTTTCCCTCCAGTAGTTCCTTGATTAGGGTATTGTTTACTGCTTGATTGTATGTCTGGTGGTAATCTTGGTGTGTGTTCTGTTATTCTATTCTGCTATTCTGTGCCGGTTGATGGCTGCCTTGCCTGAAAACCAAGCTTCCAAGAATTCCCTCGCATTTTTGGATTTTTGATTTAGCTTGGTCTAAGATGGGAAATCAGCATCCCAGACATACAATCAAGCAGTAAACAATACCCTAATCAAGGAACTACCGGAGGGGGGAAAATAAAACAAAACCCCCACCAACACCAACACTGGCAGGGCATGCCACAGTATATAAACAGAGAGCAAACCCCATTCCATTCTAGCATTGAAGATGTTACCTAGCTGGGTAATGAAACGTTTGCAAGAAAACAAGCTCAGAGAACCTGAAGGACTCCACAGTTCAACCCTGAGCTACACATATTCGCTTCTGTTGGATCTGGTTTCCAAAATGTAAGGGAAAATATGTGCTGTGTTTTACTACATTTCAGCAAGATTTATATTTATTTACTAATGAAGAGAATGTAGGAGGTGGAAAGCCCGCGCGCACACACTCACATGCACACACACACACACTATATCTTAGGGATATAGATTCCTTAAATAGGAATTGTGTATTTCTCAGGATGGATCTGGCATGTATGTAACTCTTAAGATTGCTTTCTTGTGCTTTTGCTGAAGCCATTACAAAATTCATCCAAGTTTGTTTTGGCTCTAATATGTGAAGTGTTGCTGAAGAAAATTTGACTTGTATATATTTAATTTATTTATATATTTAATTTATTGTGAAATACACATAAATATACAAAAACATAACTGGGTTTTGAAGATTGGTATTAAGTTAAAATCCATAGTAAATACTCATATCACTTTATAGACTGAAATATGTTACAATATTTTTAACCTCAATTATTCATATTTTATTTGCTGATGCATATATTTCTACCATTCCTTCTCTTCATAATTTTATGTCAGCTCAGTTAATACTGTTCTGAATTCTCACAGCAGGAGATGTCTTAGAACCTTTCTTCCTCTAGAGCTGCAAACTGACAGTAACTCGAATCAGAACTGTTCTCCAGAATTAAATCTGTCATCTTTTGGAGGAAGTTAAGGGACTGAGTGCCCTCAGAGTCCTAGCTGGTTACTTTAGTCTGTGCTCTTTTTATGAACCTCTGCCATTCACAAAGAAAAATCCATGTGTTTATAGCAAGTGGTAAATTCACTAGAATCCCTACACCTCTCAGCAACGTTCTCATTTATTGGGTGACCTATTCTGCTAAAACACAATGTGTGTTTTTTAGGTTTGGCAAGTTGTGTGAACCCAGGTGTAATAGTTTGTTAATTAGGGTTTTGCATGTATTAATCCACTGAATTGTAGAATATTCAACAAACCATGCCTGAGCAAAACCTGTGCAATGTGTGAATCCAGTCTCATTGACAGATAAAAGCTATTTCCTGTTGTCAGTGTTGGTCTGAAGGCAAGTATGTGAATGGATTTCAATACGTGTCTGTGTGTGTGTGTGTGTGCACGCGCATGTGCGCCCCTTCTAGTCTTTTCCCTTGCAACCTGTTGAATACCCATCAGAATAACCTTGGTCTATAGAACTGGGAATGGGGTGGGGAGCGAGCAGTATATAGGAAATTTAATCTAGCAACACTTTCATTTCCTCTGGTGGAAGAGCACTGTTAGATCTAATCCTGAAATATTTATTCATAAAGTTGTGAAAATTGCATTCTAAATTAAATTTCAGTACAAGGATTACAGATTTTTTCAAATAAATGTGTCACCACCAGCAGCTGGTAGGGGCAGGGCTGCTGACGTGGAGAGCGGCAAAGCACCTGCAGCAACCGACTGAGAGGAACTGGCTATGGAGACTGAGGGCCAAACAGAGCCCAGTGCTGTGGGGGACATGAATGCATCCCCCAGAGTGCTGAGAGCAGACCAGCTTGTGGGGCCCTAGGACTGAGGGAGAATTCAGGCAGACATGGGGGGGGGGGAATCTTTTCTTTGTTGGTGTTTGGGGTGGGTTTTGGTTGGGAGATATGGATGGGTGGGCCTGGGACAGAGGAACCCAAGGGGAGGGTGGACTGAGGGGTGAAATGACGGTTGAGGGTGCTATTGGTAGATTGATGGGCAGGGGTTGATATGGTGGGAATTTGAGGGTGGGCTGCACTGGAGATGTTGGCAATGCTGTTGGAGAGCAGTCCTGATGCCTGGCCCTCTGCATTCACCCTCTGGACCCAGTAGATGGATCCTTGGTGGCCCTGGGCTCTGCCTGCTGCCTTTGAATGCCAGCTCAGTATGTAATCTGCCCTTATCTGCAGTTTAATCCTACCAACCTAGCATGTATAATGAACACCTGAATGGGCCTGGGGGAGGGGGGTTCCCCTGTCAGAAATGTGTCCACCTGGGTTTTGGGTTTGGCATCAGCTGAGACCCTGGGGGCGGGGAGGTGGGGTTGCTATTGTCATCCGTGAGTCATTGAGGATCCTTAGAGACTTTGTTACTCAGATAACTAGATGTGAGACTGGGAATGGTTGGGATTGTTGCTTGTGTACTGCCCTTCCTTCTGCATAGCTTCATCCCTGCTTGATCAACTGGATTCTGTGGCCAGATTGGCAGTGGAATCCCTGAGGCTGTTGATCCTTGGAGACTTTAACCTGCCACCTGAGCCAGGGTGGCTCAGGAGTTCATGGTGTCCATGGCAAACATAGACCTGTCCCAAATAATAGAGGGTGGCATGCCAGGGGTTGCATATTAGCTATACGCCACCCAGAATCACCTTGTGTGAGATGGGCGGCTATATAAATATGATAAATAAATACATTAGATATGTTTTTTGTCTCAGGACATTTGCAGCGTGATCTGATATTGGAGGACATTGCCATCAATCTGTTGCTATTAACAGATCACTCTTTGGTTGCCCTCCAGCTAACTGGGACCACCCATCCCTGCAGGGAGACAGGGCCTGTTAGGTTGCCCTGCCCCAGGTGATGAATGGACTCTATTGAGTTCCAGAGGGAGCTTAGGGTTTTCCCTGAGGATCTGCCGGGCGGTTCGGCTGACGCCTTGGTTGCAGCCTGAAATAGGTGGGTGACTCAGGCCCTGGACTGGGTTGCCCCTATGCAGTTCTCTCTATGCACTGATCCTGATGTGCCTCCTGGTATTCCAAGTCTCTCGGGGAGACAAAATGCCAGAAGTGATACCTGGAGCACCTTTGGAGAAAGACAAAGTGCTAATCTGACTGAATGCAAGTGAGACCCTATATTCAGGTCTACATTGTGACAATAAGGACAGTGAAATGTTATTTTTCCACACATTGTGTCCACCAATAGCTGCCCAGCAGCCCTATTTAATATAACCTGCTCCCTGGGGTGGGGCTGGGCCATGTTGAGGAATATTCATGCTATCTGGTAGATACAGTTGCTCAAGTCTGCTGAGAGTTGGACTCCGACTGGACAACCCAAGTGAGTTTCCCATGGCAGTCTTGTGAGGTTAGCTGGACTGAGTTTGATTCCACAATGCCTGAGGAAGTGGACAAGTTCCTCCTGTCTGTTATTTCTGCCACCTGTTTGTTAGAACTTGGACCCTCTTGGGTTGTTCAGGCAACCCAGAGGTGATCAAGGGATGGGCCCATGCAGTGGTATCTGGCTCTTTGAGAGAGGGAGCAGTTTCACTGGCCTTGAAGGAGGTGGTCAGACAATACTTACAGAGGATCTTGGAGGAAACAAATTATCTGGATTTGTTTCAGTCAGGTTTCAGACCTGGATACAGTACAGAGACAGCACTAGTCTATGATCTCTGGCAGAGCTGGGATGGGGTTGGTGCATCCATCCTGGTACTTTTGCATCTCTTAGCAGTTTTCATTACCGTCAACCACAGTATCCTTCTGGGCTGGCTGTGAGGGTTGAGAGTGGGAGACACTGTGTTGCAGGGGTTCACCTCTCCTCAGCAGTTGGTTTCAATCGGTATCGATGTGGAGGAGGGGAGAGGTCATGTCTGTGACCCCTCATGTGTAGACACTCTACTCTAGAGTGTCTCAGGACTTGATACTGTTGGATAATGTCATCCATCAGTTTGGTGTTTGGTATCATCAGTATTCTGATAATACCCATCTTTATATCTCCACCCTAGGCTGCACAGGTAAAGCTGTCGATGTACTGACCCAGTGTCTGGAGGCTGTTCAGATCTGGATGGGACAGAACAGACTTCAGCTCAATCCTGCCAAGACTGAGTGGCTGTGGCTGTTGGGCCCCCCAGATTTCCATCTTCCATTCTGTCTTGGATGAGGAGTTACATATGTGAGAAGGGCAGCTATATAAATTTAAAAGTCAATAAATAAATGTTTTAACTGTTTTTATTGTTTTGTATTTGTAAATCAC